CAGCCGACCACTCTTGTAGCTGCTTCTTTATGGACTCGACCTCGCTCTCGTCAATCTCTGGTCTCAGACCTTCTCTGCATTCTCGTCGGCGCTGAAGTAGGCGCATTATTTCTGCCTTTGCTGCCGCAGTAAGCTCGTCCGTCCTTACTTCAAATTCTGGAAAGACCTTCTCTAGTGCACCTCCTACAGCATCTACAAATATTTTCCAAGCATCGCCTGGCCATGTTTGTTGCAACGCTGTGTTCCACTCTTCCTCCTTCTCCTGCAGCCTCCTGTCGATCTCTTCGTACAACTCCCTCCTCTTCCATCCCTTCCGCAGGCACTTCATGAGCCCATCTCTGTCCACCTTTTCTTCCCTGACAGGCTTCAAATGATGATAGATGGTGACGGTAGTTTCTAGTCCTAGAGGTAGATGATCGCGGTGCCCGCGTGCTTGTATGCTTTGGAGGCGCTTAGCTGGACCATGGAGGCAGGAGCAATTCTTGATAAAAGGTCGCGTCCCTGCCGTAATAGCAACGTGGTCGATCCTGCTGCCCCCGCCTTTGGGCCCGTAAAAGGTTGGCCCTGTCGGGAAGAACGTGTCGCATAAGACCAGCTCGTTCCTAATGCATAGCTCTCGAAAGTGCTTCCCATTTGAGTTCTCAAGGCCAGGCGCTATACCTCCAAAGTGTCTGCCTCTGTCTACTGTCACTATGCCGTCGCCGTCCCTGTGCAAGCCTACGTCCGAGTTGATATCTCCAGCGATCACTATGGTAGTGCGTGTCGGTAGTCGGTCGGTCTGCTCCTCAATCCACTCTGTTAATTGCTTCGCGATCTCGATGTGCTTCTTGTCATGTACAGCAGCGAAGTATACGTTAAAAATCGAGAAGTCCATATTCTTATCTTGTATCCGAATACCTGCAACTCTCCCTTGAAGGCCTGTGGGTGGAAGAAAGACGCTATGTAATGCTTCTCTTCGAATTTTATGCGTGAGGAAGATGCAAGTGCCACAGCTGGAGTTAACTAGTCTTCCTTTCTTGTATCCAAACTGTATGCCCCAATGCCGAAGGTGTACTTGTCTTTCTGTTGCTTGGTCTCTGAGTGCCTTCTTTTGTGTGCCGTTTAGCAAGATGATGTCCCAGGACTGCAGCTCTGCCGATATGCCGTCTAGGCGGTCCGTGTAGTTTCTTGCGAGAGGGTTAAACGTGCAGATACGCATGAGTACAGTAGTGGAAATGATGAGAGTGAGAGGGAAATGATGTGCAGCTCTACCCCGACCCCCCTTCCCTGCGCCCTTGGTGGTGTAGGGGACGAAGGCGCCCCTCCCCAAGCCCTCCAACATTGCCTGCGGGCCGGCGGCGCTGGTTGAGCTCGCGGTGGCGGCTGGAGGAGGAGAGGAGGAGGAGGAGGAGGAACGCGGGGCACCGTCTCTTCAAAACGAGGACCCAACACCACAGGACGGTTGGGAAAGTCAAGAATACTCCAAAAATCGTCCCCAGACTATTTGTTGACTATTTTTGAATACTCCTCCTGTAGAGGGACATGCCCGACTTACAACTACGCCCCCCCTCTGCGCGCCGCCGACCAGCGAGCATTCTGTGTGCCGGCTTGCGCGCCGTGCGGCTGCACCCGACTGCCTGGCCTCAGCCATCGTCGTCGTCACCAGCGCCATCGCCATCGGCATCGCCATCATGACTATCATCATCATCATCAGCATCATCATGAGCAGCAGCATCATCATCAGCATCATCAGCATCATCAGCATCAGCATCAGCATCATCATCATCAGCATCATCATCCTCATCCTCATCCTCATCCTCATCCTCATCATCATCATCATCGTCATCATCATCATCATCATCATCATCATCATCATCATCATCATCGTCATTATTATCCTCAGCCTCATCCTCATCAGCATCAGCAGCAGCCAGCATCAACACAATCAGCATCATCATCAGCATCAGCATCAGCATCAGCATCAGCACCATCATCATCATCAGCATCATCAGCAGCATCATCATCATCGGCAGCAGCAGCATCAGCATCATCATCAGCAGCATCAGCATCATAATCAGCATCATCCTCGACAGCATCATCATCATCATCAGCATCAGCACCAGCATCATCATCAGCAGCATCATCATCAGCATTACCATCATCAGCATCAGCAGCATCATCATCAACATCAGCATCATCAGCATCATCCTAATCCGCATCCTCATCCTCACATGCATCCTCATCCTCAGCATCATCATCATCATCATCATCATCATCAGCAGCATCACCATCACCTTCATCACCATCATAATCAATTTACCATCCATGTCATGATAACTACCGCTTCCTTCGTAACCCTCATCGTCACCACCATCAGCACCACAACCAACCATGACAAACACCACCAGCACCATTGCTATCGTCATCCATCAACGTAACCACTACGTTTAATAATTCGCCATCGTCATCACCTTCATCTTGATCACTGATACACCGTCTTCGTCATAGTATGATTGGTCATCATCCGCCACCGTGCCGAGAGGCACGAATTGGAGTGTCCTTCGGTCCCCCGGTCCTCAGTCCTAAGAACCGGATAGTTGATAAGGGCCTATTTCCCATTTCGTAAGTTTCCTTGGCCTTCCTACATGACTGCGGCGTCTGCCCGTATGCGGAGGAGTGCCCCACATGACTCTTTCCGAACCAGAAGGGCCCCAAAACGGGCCAAAGCGGCCCCGAGAAAGGACCCCAAGACGGCCCAAGAGTGCTCCGAGGCGCCCGAAGATCGCTCCAAGACGCCCAAGATGGCGACCAGACCAAGGAGGCCCCCAAGACGCCCCAGGAGGGTTCCACGAGATACCCCAAGAGGGCCGCGAAAGGCCAAAATCGTAGTTCTCTTTTAGGTGTTTGCGACATTGTGACGTTCCCGCCCTTCGGGCCTCTGACGGCCCAGCGGGCCGAACAAATCGGGCTCCCAGACGGTCCAAGAAGGGAGCAAGACCGCGCAAGGGACCCCCAAGACGGCCCCACGAGGGAGAACTCGCACTGACAGTTCGCGCTCTTCGGCCCAAAATAACCCCCGAGACCGCCAGTACAGTCGGGGCGCTGACCTAAGCAACCCTAAATAAGGAACGAGGCCCCTATGCTCCATAAGTTAAGCTTCGATTCAATATCGACAACGTAAGGAAAAACCTGAGGCAGGCTGTGAAACAATCAAGGAACACCGAGCCCCTCCCCAACGAAAAGGGTTCCTTCTCCAGGGCCCCGACTGTAGGCCCAAAGGAGCCCCCGAACGTCCCAGGAAGTCGCGAAGAAGCCTCGATGAGGCCCCAGGGCGCCTCCACGATGCCTCCGGAATGCTCCAAGACACGAAGCAAAACCACTTCCAAGAGGGTTCGGGGAGGCTCTCGACAAAAATCCCCACAGGCGTCCAAGAGGCCTCTGACCTACAACCTCGGCGCGGTGGCAGGATGGGCCGAAAGCCACTAGATCCAATGCCCCGTCTGGTGGCTTGCCACACGTGGAGAAGTTTGCGTGATTCTGTTGTTGTAGGTTCCCACGTGGTCTCAGCCCAACCCGCAGGCCACCCACGAGGAGGCGCAAGGACGCACAGAGGGAATGGGACCACGCGCACATCCCGCGCGAAAGGCCGCAATGTCGCTGTCGCTCCGGCGCCACGCTCCTGTCTAGAACAATGTATTACCGCTCAGGCGCGGCACACACGTTTTTCGCACGCGTGTTCGCCGCCGCGCGAGCGGGCGAAAAGATCGCTCTCGCCTCGGCGCCACGCAGATTTCGCCTGAAAGTGGCGTTCCCGCCTCGACGACGAGCATTGTTTGCCACTCGCCAATTCTAGGGGAACAAACAGTAACATAATCATAAAACTCGGAGGTCCGCGCGGATTTGTCGGATCGGCGCTAGGGCCCCCCGGCGGCGCTTCTGGCGCCGCCCCTGGCGCGTTCCGCGCGCCAGGGAGGGGGGTCCCTAAAATTTGTTTCCCGAAATTGTTTCCCTAAGTTTGTTTCCCGAAATTTCTTTCAAAAGAATGATTTCGTTTCCCTAAATATGTTTCCCTAAGTCTGTTTCCCTAAATTTCTTTCCCTAAAACTTGTTTCCCTAGGTTTATGCCACTTCTTGTTCCCCTAAATCTGCGGAGGCCCACGCGAAAACAGGGCGACGTGTCGCCCTCGGCTCAAAATCCGTGCGCAGTTGGCCCGGAGCCGGCGTGTTCCCGCGCGGGCGCGGCGCGTGGCGCTCGCTCTCGAAAGAGCGCCTGGAAGCGGCAGCGGCAACGGGGCCGCGCGAGAGCGGGCGGAGTGCCGACCTCGCCCCGGCCATCGCTCGGACGTCCACTTCCTGTGTGTTTTTGTGTTGGTTTCGTGCGTGGCTTTGTCGCCAAATGATCAAGGATGCTCCTCGATGGTCCTCGCCGAAGGAAAAATGCACACGTCCGAGCGATGCCAAGCGCCCACGCGCCGCGCAGCTTGTGGGTGAAAGCGGCAGGTGCTGTCTCAGCGCTGCGCGTGCTTCGCTTTCGCCGCGCCCCGCGGGAGGCTCGCCGCAACCGCCCCTGCGCAGCCCGCGCCGTTCTCTCGGAACCAGGCCGTCGGAAGCGGGACCGCGCACGAGCGCCTTCCGCTTTCGAGGTGGGAGCTCGCGCCAATCACAACAGCATGCTGTGCCGCAATCGGTTCCCCTGCTGCGGGAGGGACGGCGGGAGCACGCGGGGGCCCTCTGACTCGCTCGGTCTGGCAGACTTGACACTCCCGCTCCTGTTCCTGGAAGAAGATGAAACCACATAAACATAAACTGTTGGCGCTCCGCGCGGATTTCTTGGACTCGCGCTGGACCCACTCCCTGGCGCGCGGAGCGCGCCAGGGGCGGCGCCGGAGGCGCCGCCAGGGGGCCCAGGCGCGGATCCAAGAAATCCGCGCGGAGCGCCAACATTTTATGTTTATGTGGTTGTTTCTTCTTCGAGCTCCAACTCCTACTCCTCCCCCTCGTCGCAAGAGGCGGGAGGGCTCCATGCAGGCAGCCCTCCTCCTGGGGCTGATCCCCGGTCGGCCAGCGCTGGAGCGCTGCCTCGAGGAGCGTTCCGACCGCGCGAGGTTCCC